GCCAGCGGCAAAAGCCACTAGGATGTCTGTGGCTTAAATGGCACTTATGAGCTTATGCCGCAACTTACATTATTATTATTACTCCGATTTTTGTGTGCTGGCATAACATAAATGCTGCTTCTTGGCACGCAATAAATAGTTATAGACTGCGGGGAGTCCTTAAAGCGGGCGCGGAGGGAGTTTTGTATTAATTAAGAAGCATTAGCGCACAAGCGTCATGGTTTATGGGAGCCGGGGCATATGCTCTCGGAACTTTAACTATCGGCACTCTGGCTAAGTGCAATTTACGACGGGATAGAGGGAGAGCCTGGACGGGAGCTCGATCGGGCGGAAATGGTCTTTACCCTGGCGGATTCAATCGACAGCGCTTTGGCTGGAAAATCCAAAATCTCATCACACTTTCGACCATTATTATAAAGAATCAAATAAAGCAAAGCTCTCGCATGTCATAAGCGGTAAATTCAATTTGAGTTTTACAACATTTCACCGCTGCTCGGGCTTTGTTCGGGCTGTTTGACAGTTTTTGCAGCGCACTCAATCAGCACTTGTTAGAACTTTTTAGTGTGCTGTAAAATAAACATGAGTATAAAGCTGAAATGAAATGAAATTTAATAAATGCAGTGCGGTAGTGGTAGAGGTAATGGTAGTGTGTGTGTGGAAACCGGAGTGGAGTAGAGCAGGGCGACAGGCAGCATGACATGCACTTCATAAAACTTTGCTCATATAAATTGAAATTGAAATGAAATGATGATGCCAGAGCTGCCACGTGATATCTGAGTGTGTGTGCGTGTGTATCAGAACTATCTGTGTGTGTGTGTGTGTGCGAGTGTCCATGTGTGCAAGTGAGAGTTGACAGCCGGCGAGAGCTGCGTCCCTCACTGCACAATGGCTGGCTGTAAAAATTTGTTGGCCAAACAACAAGTGGAGCAGCCAAAGCAGCGGCAGCGGCAGCAACAGCCTGAAAAACAACTTAAACTGTCATTGCAAAGTTTGAGGCAAAGCCTGAGGCAAAGCCCAGCGGCTGCTGGCAGGGAGCGGAGGTATTAAAAAACTTTCCTCTGAGCAATTATGTGAAGGCTACTTAACTTTTTTGCAGGCAATAAATTTGCTCTTTAAGTGGAGACTCGCAGCAGGAGCGGCAGCACGCACCTGAGCTGCGACACAATTTTGTTGCACACTCGATTCTCGGCTGTCGGTTTTTTCGGTTTTTTCGGGTCCGCCCACTCGTAGAATTTGCCAGAGCTATGTGCAGAAATTCAATTAGCCAAGCGAGGGGCGGCAGCAGGGGCAGGAAGCAGCAGTTTGCCACTTGGCATGCCATGCAGTTTTGGGGAATGCTTTGAAATACACGCATGCACACTTGGATACAGATACTCTCCGCATGCCTAGATACATTTCACGTCCGTGTGCATGGGCGTGCGGTTGTGACAGGCTGGCTGCCTGCTGCTCTGCTGCTCCGCTGCATACTTGCCTCAATTACGCCGAAAATGTCACATTAATTATTGGCATTTATGGGGTTTGCGCCGCTTTTGATATGATAGACGACAATGCCGACCAAAATTTGAAGTCTACTTTATGGCGCGCTATTGTTGTGTCCTCGAGAGCGTGCTTCTGTGTGTGGCAGACGCACAGACAGGAGTATTTACGAGTACGTATTCGTGTGTTTGTGTGTGCGGTTGTATTAATTGGAATTTGTTTTTGTATGTCAGCTGCAAGACGGCGTCGAGGCGTTGGCTTTGCCGCTAGGCTCTTTGTTGGGCTTTGCGGCAATTAAAAATTAATTTGACAAAGCGAGACATTTCGAATTAATTTCGAGTCTAAACGATGTTTTAATTCAATTTATGTTTCTGGCAGCACAACTTGACAATGCCATCCATTGAGTGGGTCGATTGACTTGACTCAAGGTCTGATCAGGTGAGGTCGCACTCAAATGTGTGCGACTTGAGTGTGCGCTTCAGCCGCATTTTATGCTCGAAATTAATTAAGTGGCGTTCTGCCCTGGGCAAACATTTGAAAACCAGCTCATATCGCTTGTCTATATCTGTGCCCTCACTTTGCTTCACTTCAATCCAACTCCAACTCCAACTCCAATTACTTAATGACAGCTTCCAGTTGCAGTGATTAGGCTGAAAGCGCTTTGAGCCGTAGAGGCCTCGTTGCCACTGTCCTAGCCACTGCCACAGCCACTGCCAATGCCGACTATGCGCATTCAACGTCAACTTACGCCAGCCGTCTGTCAGCAACAGGAGTCGCCTCCACACTCATGCGGCTACTTATGCAAAATGCTGGGCTCTGCCACTAGACGACACCCGTTGCTGCTCATCTGCACGCACTGGAGCAGGCGCTTTGATCGGCCGGAGCGGCGGGGAAGCGGTCCGGAGACACACAATTGTGTTGATTGCACAGATGACAAGGCGTAGGACAAGATGACAACTTTGCTGCCTGCCACCCTTGATGACAATGAAGTGCATGCATGAATATTCTAATCAAATGAGCCGCCAGCCTGTCCTAGCTCCTCGCTCCTGGCTCTTGGATCCCGGCTCTGGCCTCCGGCCCAGCCATTGTCGAGCGGTAGAATTTTTCGCCTCCGCCACATGTGTACACTCGGAGAAAGTGGAGTCAGTCAATGGCAGACTTCTAAAGACACCAAGCTTTCTCTAAGGGATTTTAGTTCTGATTTTCGTTGAACGATCCATCACCATTTCTGTTGTAAACGATTTGAGAAAGTAGCATAGCCTTAAAGGTTTATTTTCCTGTGGTATTGCATCCTGTTTCGCTCAGTGCTTGCCACATGCTTTGTGTTCTGTACTGAGCAAAAGTTTCAAAGTCAGCCAGAGTCCTCGGCCCAGAAAAACCTTTCCTTTACCTCGTTTCATTTCATTCACTCACTGAAATCGAATTTGCATAATTTAACATGATGGTTGCGCTTATTCCTGCAGCCTGTCAGGCGCACAGACAGCGACGGACAGGCGCGAGGATGGGTTATTATTGTTCGCCCTCGAATTCAGCGTCACCGCATTTTGCTGGCACATGCATCATCATTTGCATACATTTGCAGTTCGCCCAGTCAGTCCATGCTCGGAGTAATGAGGACTGCGCCGGTCTGAGTCGATTTTCTTTGAATATAATTCGCGGGGCGGGGGGAAAGGAAAGCATTGACGTTGATGGATTTTGGCACTTACACAGGCTAGCGCCCGTCACCTCCGACCACGACTCCGGCTCCAAAAAAAGCTGCGGCAGCAGACTCTGCTCCAGTTGAGCTGAGCTGAGCTGGCTTTGAAGCGCAATTTAATGAAGAATGATATGTTGGCATCGTGGCCGCAACAGCCGCAATCATCCACCCCACTGGGGCGCACCCCTTAACCACATCGACTGACAGTTTTCGCGGCTTCGCACGCAGCCACTGTCGAAGTTGAAGGGCGCCGACAACATCGACAACAAGTTTTCTCGCTCAACAGAGGGTTGGGGGTGGAGGGAACGAATCGAGCTTCTAACGAATTATGTAGCTGCGTTGTCTCGGACTCGCTCGATATTTTTGGAACGGGAGATCGTCTACTCGCTGATATTTTGCCTATTCAAATTCAGGGACATTTTCGGACTAAATTTGATTCGAAAGTGCTGGCTGCCGGAAATCTCAAACCCCTCCTGGCAAGTGCAGCCTAAAGCACAACGCAAATAAACGAGGGAAAAAACAATAAAGAGCCAGGACAGAGTGAGACGGTGGGAAAGACAAACAAAAATAAATACTCCCGACATTGGTTTTCTATGCAAAGTGTCACATGGCCGTATGCCACGCCCCCTTCCGACGGGCGCCACAGCCGCTGCCGCTGCCTTTTCATGCATATCAAAATGGCAACAATAAACGCCAACAAAAGAACAACAATAACAAACATTAACATGGAAATACACACGCACACGGGGCCAACAAAGGCGGCAGTCAAAAATGTTGCAAATGTAAGCAAAATAAAAATAAGAATACATAACAAAGACACAATTACACTCACAGAATGAGTGTTTGCCAGTGTGATTGTGGATTGTCTGTGTGTGTGTGTGTGTGTGTGTGTGTGTGTGTGTGTGTGTGTGTGTGTATTTGTAAAACCAAAACTTTTGACATAATAAAATGGAATGTTATTGTTAAAAAAGTTACTTGCATATTAAAACAAACGAAACTTTCCCACTAGCTGTCGCTATCTCGCTCAGGCGTTCCTTCCTTCCTACTCGGCCCTCTGTGCTATTTCCCTCTCGCTCCGCCGGCGCCATTTATTTTGCTCTGCCCGTGTGCGTGTGTGTGGGAGTGTTTTTACTTGCAAATGTCGCACACAAATGCAAATGGCCGGCGTGTGAAACGAGCAGCGCTGCCAAAAGCAAACAACTTTAATTGAACTGTTTACCCGATTTTTATTTTATGCCCCCCGAAGCCCCCCTCTGGCTCTGTGCCCTGTTGAGCCGTGTAATTGTTATGGTTATGTTTGCGATGATTATTTGGCTCGCTGCACAGCTGCCCACATTTGGCATATCGGTGCGACTTGCACCCGGAGCCAGTCGGGATGAGTGGCTTATCTAGAAAGCAGGAGTCCCTGTTACCAGCTGCAAGAGTTGTTGAAGACAATACAATGATTAAGATGCATAACGCGCAAAAATGTTAATCTCTTGCGAGATCAGGAAACTCTATATTTGAATTCCCTTGACCTACAGAACCATACATCGAGTGAGATCTGCCTTTCGTTACGCATCTTATTCATCATATTGTCTTTGCTTTGGGTCAAAACTCCAGCTGGGTGTTAATCTAAAAGTACGCTTATCACGACTACACATCCAAGCTAAGTCCGAAAACGGAACGATATACAAAATCTTAGGTTTAATCAAGTACGGGATAATACAACAGATAACGAGCCGAGCACGGTACGTATACGTAATACTGGTGGGATCGTAAATAGGAGACGGGAAGATATAGCCGTAGATAGTATAGTATGTATAGGAATAGGGATCAGACTACTCACCTTTGCTGGCACCGTCCGGCCCGCGCAGTATGGTGCACTCCTCTATAGTGCCGAACGGATGGAAGATTTGTCTAACATCGTCTTCGGATTGTTGTTTGCTGAGCATGCCAACGAACAGCTTGCGATCTAAATGCTCTGTTTTGGTTTCGGGTTTATTCATGTTTGATGTCATGTCAGTGATTCGATCGATCCGATTGATTTTGATTGATTACGAATATAATTTATTGTTGTTTTGTTTTTTTTTTTTTTTTTTTTTTTTTTTTTTAATTTCAATTAGATTTCGATTGTTGCACCAAAGGAGACGGCAAAATGGACAAGTGGCAATGTATTTTCGTGGGTGGCAGTGTTCGTTGTGTAGAAATGAAAAGTATTCAATCAAGAAGCCATAGCCAGAGAAATTTCGCATCAAATAAGATTGAGAACCGAAAAATGAATACGGAAACAAAGGACGTTTGTTTGATCGTAATGTTCATGTGTGTCATATCAAAAGAGATGTAAATGCAACAGGGTTACACATTACGCAACATTTGTTGTAACGAGTAACGAACGCAGCAGGCACATTTATGTAATTGTTTTATTTGGTTTGTAATTTTTCAAAATTTCAACAGGCGCAAAATACCCAAAAGAAAGTAAAAGCAACAACATTTATTTAACGAGAGATTTTTGGTGTTTGGGTGGATAGTTGATCACCAATAGAGCAATTACAATTACAACATTTATAAATGTGGTTAGGTTTGGGGTGGGAGGAAGGAGAACAAATTTCGATTTTATAAGCGGAACAAATTTTTTGTTTGAAATTGTTGCATCGAGAAGGTACAAATTTCGGTAAGTAAACAACCAAATCAAATCAAAACAATACGATTAAGATCACAGAAAGTCAAATCAGTTTTAAGAAATAATAAGAGAAGAATTGTCAGTTTTCCAATTTTGCCAATTTTGATGTATTTATTTTTTCGTTTCAATCATATATATTTGATATAGAGCACGAACAAGTGTTACATAAAAAGGAAAGAAAAGAAGATAAAAATGGGTGATATTTAGTTAAAATTGTCGTACAATTTGTTTTTTTTTTTTTTTTTTTGTTTTAACTTACAATATACGAGAATGGAAAGTAGCTATTCATATACGTATAATATAAATTTGATGTATGTATATTTAGATATAGAACAGACACGCACACTCAAGCATACCATCTCACGCACATTTACAAGCTGGCCACTCATAGAGCTACTGAGTTAAGGATAGACATCGAAAGGATATTGAACACGCTAGCCACTACTTTAAAAAAGATTTGGTAAAACTATGGCGAGCATGGGAAATGTGAGGCTTAAAAATACTTAGAGTCTACCTTAAAGCTGTATTGGGTGAGTGATCAGACATGGGTTCGCTAAGATGAAATCAAATTATACTGGTGAATGGGTGTGCGGAAGAGAGCCACTCTGGTTCAGCTTCCAGCTTCGTGCGAGTGTCTCCCATTTTCGGTTTTAAAAAGCATTTAAGCCGCCTCTTCTCCAGGACACCGTCTGGCACTCCGGCACTCGTATCATATCGAAAATGGAGCGTCACATAATTGGCCAAACACTTGCCACAGACCCACAGCAGACGGCCAAACCGCCCAGCTGCTGTCGCGTTAAAATGGCAAAAGCAATCGAAGGAGAAAATAACTAATACGACACGTTGGACCCATGCACATGGTCTGCAGGCAATTGTCTTGTGTCCGGGTTAAGCCTAATGGCATTTGGGCTCCGTTCCCATACCCACCCCCACCCGCACTCTCTCGAGCACCCCTCCGTCCCAAGCACGTGCAATAAGCCAAGCAACGCCCCCGGCATGCTAAACAACAACAAGAAGGGCCCAGGGGCGGGTAGGTGGAAGGGCTTGGGAAGTGGCAGTGGAAGCTATGGAAGGGTTGGCTTAATAAAAATGTAAAGCACGTTGGGCCTGAGGGGCGGAAGGAGCAGGGCCGGGTTAGGACAAGGTAAAAATAGTGCAGCATACTTTGCGGCGCCTGCTGTTGTACATATGAAATGGCATAGTTCAACTGGCTGTTAACAGTTGCGGCCAAAAACAGAGAAAAAAAAACAGGGAAAAGGAAAACAGGGAGCGGAGTGCACGGGGGATAAGAAGAAGTGGGATTCGGGCTGGGAACAAAGTAGACAGGCTAGGGTCAGGACAAAAGGATTTGCACAATGTTTAGCCTGGCGTTGCAGCAATTTTCTACAATTACCTGGGGCACAACGACACCGACCGGCAAGGATAAAATGCACACAGGGCTTTCAGTGATTCCCTTTTGGCTGCTCTCCTTTTGCTTTTACTTTCGTTTTTTGTTCTTTTTCGGTCCTCAGCTAAAGGAAAGAGCAGTGAAAATAATATTAAAGGCCATTAGGCTCATATAGACAAGTTAAGTGGCTCCTGGTCCGGGGTCGTCCTGCCTCCCCAACCTCGTTGTCGTCCTTGTCTTTGTCCTGCTCCTGATTCCCTTGCTAGCCATGTGTGGCAATTTTTAGATTTTATTTTTATGCCTGCTCCACGTTCTGTTCCTCATCCTGGCTGTCCTCTGTTGCCACGGCAAAAGAAGTCATTAACGTGTCGTTGTCTTTGATGCCGCAGCCAAAGGGGTACGGGATGGAGTAGAGTGGAGTGGAGTGGGCGGGAAAAAGAAAGCCAAATTAAATTAGTTAACCACATGGCAAGTTTTGTTCATGTGCTGCGCCAGGAGACGACGAGGACAGGACACTAATTGCTGCACGTTATGTTTTTGCTTATCTCCCCTTGAGTCGCAGCCGTTTCTGCCTCTCTAGCATCGAGCTGCACCGCTTCCCCAACGCTGCGCCCTGCCCCTCCAGGGCCGAATAATTGTATTTTAAGTCCTGGGTCCTGGCTGAAGGTGAAAAAGCTAGTCGCGTCTATGAATAATACAAAAAATGTGGAGACATCGGTGCCGGAGGATAAAAAACTAAACACAAAGTCGCTGACATGGCGAAAGTCAAAGCTCAAAGCTCATGTCCCAGTACCTCGTTCTTCCCGCTCTGTTCTTCATTTTCCTTTTAACCGTACTGGCTGGCTTCCTTTGACTGGCTAGCCGGGCCCCGTTGCCAATTGACATGTAAATTGACGTTTAATGGCTGCTAATGAGCGTCTGAGGATTTGTTCCTGGCGATGTGGCGGCGATTTGAATAAGCCAGAGAGAGGCCAGTGCAAGAGCAAATGCAAGCGGGTAGAGATGGAGAGATCACATTTGAATCAGGTGACATTTCTCTGCTCAAGTGCTGCCATTGCTAGGGGATTAGGTTCAATCTGCAGAACCCTTCGCCATCTTGCTGCAGCTAATAAATCATTAACCAAACAAATAAATACTCCATTAATTTTCACAGCTTAGCCAGCATTCTGGGAGCCAGAGAGAGAATTGAACGACAAATGAAGATCCTGCCATAATGCGACCAATTCATATCTGAAATGTTTTAATCTGATTACTGCAGATAGCTCAAAATGCTATGTAAATATGTTTAAGCTATTAATTATTTTGTGGGGATTTTCAAGCTTTCGGCATAATTACAAAACTCCCTGGGAGGCGAGTGGTGGCTTCAAATAATATTTGCTTGGCAAAAACTGATTGAAGCCAAAGTCTGCCCACTCCAGAACCCTTTATTGTGATTCTGTATTTATGTATCTGTATCTCTCCTGGCCCTTGCGTTTGGCTACGTTTATTCTGCCATAAATTATTGAAATTGTAATTACTTAGGCAGGAAATGGATAAGTGAGCTCCAATCGCATTCTTGCTGCCGCCCTGAGTTTGGCTCTCATCGTCTGTTCTGGTAAATATTCTCGATTTTCTTTACTTCGTCTAATGAAAATTTAATCATAAATATGTATGTATGTATGTACACTGATTAAAGAGGGCAGCCCAAGCCCAGAGTAGTTTCATTAGCATTTTTCTATATATTTTATTAGTGAACTCATCCGCTCTAGTCCCTGCGCCTTTGATTGATGATGCTCTCGCCTGGGAATGGGACTGGTAAAAGGAAACTAATTAATATGTAATTAGTGACACTCATTTGACATGTAACGAGGCTAATGTAAAAATATTCCGGAGAAGTCTTAGCAATAAGAGGGAGAGGCAGCGGCAACGAGTCGCCTCACCCCCTTAATCGCATTGATTAAAATGTAAATGACTTTCCGTATAGTCAATTCAGACGCACAATAGCTCCCATATGCCGGGTCCAATCACAGGGATCAGATGCTGCAAATGATATGCTGCCCCATCAATATTGCCGGCAATTGTTGGCGGCCAAGCGTGCCTGCAGGCGCAGCATCCCATTTTTATGGCCCTCCAACTCTGCCCCAGACTTAGGCACAGCCACAGACGCAGGAGTAGGAGCAGACACAGACAGACAGAAGCCAGACTAGCTGGCGGTCTGAAAGTCATCCCGCACAGCCGACGGAGGTGTCAGTATTTATACAGCAAATAAGCTAAATGTTCCCTTTATGAGTCCCTCAGCGCCGTCGCCGGCAAACAGTTGGTGTCGTCGCCCGACAATTGTGTGGCAATTGTCAAAAGTCTCCCCGTCTTGACGTTTATATATGACTAGATATAACTCAGCGACGGCATCTCCCTGAAACTCCCTGAAAACTGCAAAGCCGGCTTTGTGCTCTTTTCGCCTTTGTTGCCATTGTGGCGGGGAATCCTTTGGGCCTCCTTCCGACTGCGAGCTCGCAGTTTATTTGTCAGTTTGAAATTCTTTAGTAATAAGCGTAAAACTCGACTATAGGCAGGGGACAAACTGTGCACAGTGAACGAATTGTGGCGAGAGCGAACCGAGCCCTAAGCCAAAGTTAGAAGTAAATTAGTTATTAGCCTTGTAAGTAGTTCAAAAGTTGCCACTTAAGCCGCTGACAGCCTGCTGGAGCTCCGTTTCAGAGGCGATGGCAGAGTATCGCTAAAATGCGCCTAATTGTTAATTAGCGTCAGCATGAATTTGTGAGGGGCTCCAGTAGCACTGCCAGTGCCAGTACCAGTACCAGACATTTCCATAGTCACATTTTTAGGCACAAAACTTTCTGTTGGGGCCAAAAGTCACTGCCAGACCGAAGGAGGCAGGCATCAGGAAGAAGGCAGAAACTTTGTCCTCGCTGCT